AGGGGGTGGGGAGTGCGCTAAACGTGCGGATGACGTTCCGTTAACATGGTTTTGCCGACCGGTTCACGTGTTACGTTCGTCGCGTGGCGGATATGTGCGCGGGCGTTCGTGAATTGCTATACCTTTGGTGGCGGCGGGGGGCCGCGGCGCGGGCGGCGGGCCGGGCGGCACCGGCGGCGTCCGCGACAAGCCGAACAAATGGATCGGCGCGCGACACTTCGCGTCCGTTTTGTCCGTGCTTGATTGTTTCGTGGTTTTGGAGGCGATTGCCATCTTTTTCGGACGGCGCCACTCGGTGGCTCAAAATAAAATGATGCAGTTACACAGAACATGCCCAAATAACTGTGTTCCATCGCAGAAATTCTTGTCGCCGTTGCGGCATTTAACCGGTGTTTATAAACAGAGTAAGCTGAAGCCTAATGAAAAAAAAGACTTGATATAAAGCCAGCCTAAAATTAAAAATTGGAATACATACTTTTGTTTAGATATGAAATTTTTACACAAAAAATTAGTTTGTGGTAATTTCGCAAATTTTATTAATTTACTAAAACCCAGTTGTACAATATATTGTTTAGCAACGCTTTTTTGGATAGGCCTGAGTTAGTTTTTTTTCATTTTCCGGCATGGAAGCATGAAAATACAATGCATCTCACGTGAAACTGATTCTTGGATCATACTAGCGCTCATGCCAAGCAAAAGACCATTGACTTTTTGCAATACAATCTAATGATGTTTAAAGGCAAAAAAAAAAAAGTTTTTTAAACGATTAATTTTTCATTGAAGCATTCAGAATTGTGTACGAAGTTGCAAGAAAATATAGTTTCACTTTTTCTAGAAATTAATTCTATTATTAACTAATTAATTAAAAAAAATATTTTTACTCATTACTTATTTCTTTGTTTCTACAATGCAACTCTACCTTCACAAAATAGTGCACGGTGCTAATTCAAAACATACTGAAGTACAATAAATTAATTTATTTTCCTTGTACCAATAATCATTGATGCCCCTCAGTTATTGGTACCGTATTACGTAGCAGGTTTACGAATACGTAAATGCGCTAGTTTGAATATTAGCAGGGGGAAAAAAAACCTGCGTCAGCCTGGAATTAATTACACAGAAAATGTGTAACCAAGTTCAGATTGACAGTCAGTACAATACAGTAATGTCCTCTATGTCCGACCCCCCACGTTATCTTTAATGATCCAAAAATTGCCGATGTATCGTGTGGAGAACAATTCATCATTCTGACTGTAGGGTACACTTTAATTGTTTCAACTTCGTCCCGACGCTGTTCACGATGTGAACATTTGACAACATATCCGATCCTGAAACACGAGATAACTCGAATGAACGGCAGAAATAGTGAGGAATTGCTGCAGTTCCAAAATACTCAGTGGCAAGATACCTCGCTTTAAAAAATCCATTGTTTTAAATGAGAACTAAAACAATGACGCAAATGAAAAATTGCTGTCTGTGTACCAATGTGAATTTTATCAAAACTATATTTGCTATCAGTTTTCTGTAGACAATTCTAAACATGCTGTTAAATCAACACAGACATTTAAAGTTAGGTCATTTGAAATGAAATTCTAGAGACACAATTTATAATAGTCAGTAAATCAATGATTTCATCAAACTTTAGTTTTTCCGACAAAATTAAAGACATTATATTATTATTATTATTATTATATTATTATTATTAGTATTATTATTATTATTATTATAATCAAGCAGAGATATTAAATAAAAAATTATGTGAAAAATTAAATGTGCATCGTCAAAGATTTAAAAAAACATTTCTCATAAATAGGTGAATTTGAGCCACCCTGAGAGTTAAGGCAACTGCGAACAAAAACTTTATACATATAAAATCATAAAAGTCATAACAAGTTTGCAGAAAAACATCGTCAATCCCATCCGAGATCTTTCAACTGATGTTTTTCAATGTGATGAAACCAAACATTACCAAACGTCATATCCACAAATATGTTCTATTTCTGTCAGACCCCGCACATGAACCATAGTATATGACAGAGCGCCCCAAGCTTCGAGAATGACATCACGAATATCTATGTGGAAATGGTAGTAATCTCTCTCATTTTGCGGCGACACTTCGCGTCGTTTTTGTCCGTGCTTGATTGTTCGTGTTTGGAGGCGATGCCATCTTTTTCGGACGCGCACTCGGTGGTCAAATAAAATGATGCAGTTACACAGAACATGCAAATAACTGTGTATCCATCGAGAAATTCTTGTCCCGTTCGGCATTAACCGGTGTTTTATAACAGAGTAAGCTGAACCTAATGAAAAAAAAGACTTGATATAAAGACAGCGTAAATTAAAAATTGAATACATACTTTTTGTTTTAGATATGAAAATTTTTACACAAAAATTAGTTGTGGTAATTTCGAAATTTTATTAATTTACTAAAACACGTTTTACAATATATTGTTTAGCAACGCTTTTTTGGATAGGCCTGAGTTAGGATTTTTTTCGTTTACGGCATGGATGCATGAAAATACAATGATCTCACGTAACTGATTCTTGGATCATACTAGGCTCATGCCAAGAACAGACATGACCTTTTGATACAATCTAATGATGTTTGAAAGGGCAAAAAAAAAGTTTTTTAAACGATTAATTTTCATTGAAGCATTCAGATTTTGTACGAAGTTGAGAAAATATAGTTCACTTTTTCTAGAAATTTAATTTATTTATTAACTAATTAATTAATAAAAAATATTTTTACTCATTACTTTATTTCTTTGTCTACAATGAACTCTCACCTTCACAAGTAGTGAGGTGTAATTCAAAACTACTGAAAGTACAATAAATAATTTATTTCCTGTACCAATAATCATTGATGCCCCCTCAGTTATTTGGTACGTTTACGGTAGAGGTTTACGAATACGTAAATGCGCTAAGTTTGATATTAGAGGGGGGAAACCGGTCAGCCTGAATTAATTACACTAGAAAATTGTGAACCAAGTTCAGATTGACACGTCAGTACAAATACAGTAATGTCCTCTATGTCGACCCCAACGTTATCTTTAATGATCCAATGCGATGTATCGTGTGGAGAACAATCATCATTCTGACTGTAGGTACACTTAATTGTTTCCACTTCGTCCCGACGCTGTTCACGGACATGAACATTTGACAAACATATCGATTCCTGAAACACGAGATAACTCGATGAACGGAGCAATAGTGAGGAATTGTGCAGTTCAAATACTCAGTGCAAGATACCTCGTTTAAAAAATCCATTTGTTTTAAAATGAGAATAAAACAATGACGCGAAATGAAATTGTGTCTGTGTACCAATGTGATTTTATCAAAATATATTTGTATTCAGTTTTCTGTAGACAATTCTAAACATGTGTTAAATCAACACAGACATTAAGTTAGGTCAATTTAAATGAAATTCTAGAGACACAATTTATGAATAGTCAGTAAATCAATGATTTCATTCAAACTTAGTTTTTCTCGACAATAAAGACATTATATTATTATTATTATTATTATTATTATTATTATTATTATTATTATTATTATTATTATAATCAAGAGATATTAAATAAAAATTATGTGAAAATTAATGTGATCGTCAAAGTTTAAAAAACATTCTCATAAATAGGCTAATTTGAGCAGAGAGTTAGCAACTGGAACAAAACTTTATACATATAAAATATAAACGTATAACAAGTTTGCCGAAAACATCGTCAATCCATCCGAGATCTTTCAACTGATGTTTTTCAATGTGATGAAACCAAACATTACCAAAAGTCATTCCACAATATGTTCTATTTCTGTCAGACCCCGCATGAAACCACTTATATGACAGAGGCAAGTTCGAGAATACATCACAATATCTATGGGGAATGGTTCATACGAGTATCTGTGATTATATTTAGTGTATGTGGAAAAAAAGGATCCGCGGACCATTGTTTTAGGAGCTGTTTCGGCATTTTTCGGAATTAGGGCAAACACGGAAAATACCGTTCAGAGTATTTGACCCCGTGAACTCCATTCTGATAGGGAGCACAATCTCTCTGATAAGTACATTTCCGGCAACTGCCGGGATCGATTACGCGATAGTACAGTCGCACTTTCAATCGACTCTACCGAAACTCTCGTAAGAGAGGAAAAACATCACAAATGATTAGTATGTCACATAAAACATGTACCGCGATTTATTATTGTACTCTTATAATTGGGTGTTCTACAACATTCTGTGGCATTTAATAATAACGTGTGTATAACATCCAAGCACAATAATAATTCAAGCCGGGTCTTTCGTGGGGTTGAAGGGGTGCGAGCGACGAGGTTTAGTCTTGTTCTGAGGCCTGCTCTCTTATTATGAGGCGCGCACATATGAATCCGCTGCCTATTCGACGTGACAGTTCATTTTCGGCCCAGAATATGCAATGGCTGGATTTCGCTCTCGACGAAATGTTTTCTGGACGGTGACAATTCACTGGGCACAACGTGACTTAAATTTCGACGACGGAGTTATGAAATGTACATATGAATAGGCTTTGGAGATATATAACACATGATCGCCAGCGGACATACACAGTTGCAGTACCATAAAAATTAAAGTAAATGAAGCCATAAAAATATGTTTCTTGACGTTCTATTTCAAGTTGATACTTATTTCTCGTATACTATTTATTTCATGAAGAAACTGGGTTGATTTTTGTTGGTGTATTTATTTGGGATATTCGTGTGTCGGAGAGTCGTTTCTCATGCAGAATAAAACCGCATAATTAGATATTAATACGCAGGACTATTTACAGAATAGTGTGCTTACGGTGCTAACCCGATGTACAACGTAGCTCGGAAAGGCTAAACAAAGCTTAACTAGATTGACGAAAGATACAAAAGTATGAAAGAAAGAATTTCAATTTCTGATCTTTAAGCGGACAAATATAAAGGCGAATTGAAAAATAAGACAGAAAAAATGTTAGCAATATCTAAAGTGTAATGAAAAGTATAACATTCAGCGTCATGTGTTAATAAATGTGGTCATTACCATAATCGCTTTGACCAACTTCAAGCATCCTAGTGTTCAGCAGGATTTAGTAGCATTTATTCTTCCATGTTCGTTGTGTTCTGTTTGTTTTATCTGTATCACCCCCCTTCACGGTAGTGCATAATATTTGTACACGTCTTCTACATATTTTCTTCTTTACTTAACTACAACTACTGTAAATTTGCTTTTCTTCGTTTCAATATTACCCCTTAATCAGTTTCTTCTAATTTTCCACAACAGTCTTTTCATCTTTACACGTTTTAAAACATCGGCATAACTAATGTTTTTTAATGATTTGATAATTTCCAATTATCAAAATGATTACTTTTGATTGATGATAATTGATATAGATAAATAGTCAAGGATATGCATAGAATATTTTGTAAGAAAAACATTTATATAGTTTAATTATTTTTTTATAATTCCCATCAAAAATATTCCTAATTGCATTTGAAAACTGTTCTTTTTGAATAGTATCTACCGAAAATTGATTTTCGTCCCCTGCGAATGAATAAAAAGCGTATTTGCGGAATCACGGTGTCTTGTAGCGACAGGCGCCACCTGGGCGCTGGGGTCATACCCTCGCGGGGGGGGCGCTGAAGCGGGCGCGGCGAGGGTGCGTCAGGGGCGGGTCCGTCGAAGGCCAGGTGGGCGCCCGCTTACGCTGTCGCCAGGTCGGAGGCTGCTTAACAAGTTAATCTGACTAGGCGCGCGGCGATTGGCGCGTGCGGCGCCGGCGGGCACGGCGCGCGCGCCGCGCGGGCCGTTGGCGGACCGCGCGACCTGCCCGCCCATGAATATGCATCCGCCGGCTTAACGCGGGATCAGGCGGGGAATGAATGGAATAAATGAATTATAATCGCGAACAATTTCAGGGTTTAGCTTTAAAAATAACGTGACAGAAGGCCCTTCCCCAGCGAACGGCGACGGCCTCTACGGTCTGCGCCGGGGGGGGGGGAGGGAGGAAGACAGCATGGAGGGCCAAGTTTTCGACCGTGCTGCGCTCTGCGGCGACATGTGGACGAGCCACGCATGGCCGCCGCGGACACGAGGCTGGCGGGGGCGCCAGCGAGGCGGAGAGCCTATGTTTCATGTTACAGCTGGCCGGCGGGCAGGGGGGGGGAGCGGTGGGCGGCGGGCGGGCGAGCGGCAGATGAGCTGGGCGTCCGCCGGGCGTGAAGGAAAGGCCCAGGCGGGCTAACAAGGAGAGGAATAGCGCCTCTTCATTATTATTCTGCATATTCTCTCGCTATACTTTCTTCGGTGATCGCGCGCCATTGACTTCGGCGGAGAGACTCCCCTTTTACGTGTCACCTTCGCCGACTCCGCCCCGCCCGCCGCCCCTTCCACTCCTGGCCCCGCTCGACCGAGAAGCAATTGAAACGGGCAATCGGCGAACACAGCAAGCGCGCCGCAGACGCTGCTAGAACGCGAGGGTGGCGGGGGCGGAGGGTCGGCGCTCCTCGCGTGCGTGATGCTGCCAACGAGTGCGGTGGTGCGTCGATTAGAGATTACGAAAGGCTCGGTGACGTAGTGGCGACAGGACCAGTGGTGGCGGTAGCGCAGACGGCGGGATGGTGTGGGTCAAGGTTCGAGCACAATGACAAATTCGATATATGGCGGCAGGATGGCTATGGGGCCAAGGAGGAAATTCTGTGGAACGGAGGCGGTGTTATTATTGATGTTGGGTGGCGGTGGAGGCGAGGTGGTGAAGACTCACGGTAGCGCGACGGGGTGGTGGTCCTTTTGGTGGTGGGGGGGGTGGCAGCGCAGGTGCGGTGGTGGTGGTTGCGTGGTGGTGGTGGCGGTAGTGGTGTGGCGGTAGTGGTGTTGGTGGTGGTCGTGGTGTGGTGGTGGTCTATGTGGTGGTGGTGCTGGTGATGTGGGGTGGGTGGTGATAGGTGGTGGCCTTGGCAAGTAGGGTTTGGTTTTTTTGGTGTGGGCGGGTGGGGGGGGACCTGGGCCGGTAAGGGGGTTGGGGGTGGCCGGAGGTGGTGGGCGGCAGGCTGCAATGGCGGGGGGGCAGCGGTATGACGTAAGTTGTGTCGGAAGGTGGTGGCGATGGTGGTGGCGCAATGGTGGCGAGGTGGTGCGATGCTGGTGCCAGTGGCGGCGTAGTGGTGCGGGGAGTGGCTAGAGGTGGCGGTGTGATAGTGGTAGTGGCGTGGCATAGCGTAGTGGTGATTAAGCGGCGGCGCTGGTGGCGTAGTTGGCAGCGTAGATAGTGGCGAAGAATCGGTGCGTAGGCGGAGATGGTGGGTGTAGCGGTGGGGCGGCGTCGGGGGTGAAAGAGAGCGACGAGAGTGGAGCGGTAGGCGGCCATTTGCGAAAGTAGAGGCACGGCGGTGGCGGATGTGCGGAGGCGGTGGCGGGAGCGCACTTGGTCGTCGGCGGTGGCTCCGGCGTCGGGGGGGCGGGCGGCGACGCGAGTCGGCGTCGGGGGCGGGAGACCGGCGCGTCGCGGGTGCACGGTCCAGGTAATTCGGTCCAATTTTAACTCGGTCCCCCGTTGTCACGACCCGGGCGCTGACCCCGGCGCGGTGAAAAATTGTGCGCTGCTGTGGCTGGTGGGGGGGCGAGAGCGCACTGCGACAGAGAGATGCGGCAGCAGATGCCGTCCTTCAGGCGCAGCGGGCAGCTAATTTCTCTCACATGCTTCTCCTTCTTTATGTCTTTTCTTTTTCTTAGTACCGTTTCACCTCCCGAACTTATTTTGTGTTATTTGCACTGCCATTGTCTTCCACTTCTAGCATACTCGTATTAATTACATTAATTTTATTTAATAAGTTTTATTAAAACTGGGATACGGTAGAATCCTTTCGCAGTTAATTAAAGTATTAATAATTAACAATATTTTTAATTATACACAAAATGCAAAATTATACAAATATAATACTTATTAATGTGTATTTTTAAAGTAATGAAGATATAAAGTTTGATAGTATTATAAATAAAAATAAATATAACAATAATAAGATGTACTATAAATAAATGTTTAAATTACAATAAGACTAGAAATATGTGTAAACTTAACTTAATGTGACTTCTTGCAGAATATAATCACCACATCGGACCAATCTACGATAAGTCCTCCACAATTATTTTCTTGGATACTACTCTTAACAACACTATACTGTGTTTATTTGTATATCGCATTAAAAGAAAATTGGTTAATTAAGATTAACATTAGAATGACTAAGGAAATAGTAAATTAGTCTCTAAATTCGTGAATACGTTGAGGAAAAGGTACAAAGGTTCCTTCAGGTAAACTGTGTCATTCCGTTATTCCAGTTTCAGTTGTAAAAGAAAATATCTCGATATGCGTTCTACGGGATCTTAATTAGATTTGGTGGCAGTCATGTACCTCTTCTGTACATTACTGAAGTCTCCGATTCATTTCTTTTCAAGGCGGACGTTTTTCCAAGCCACAATGTGCTTCACCCAAAGAAAAGAATTTCGCTATTTTCTAACATTTTTTCGAGTAATTTTCACCCTATCATTCCTTGAAGTAAATTTAGATAATATACGTTGAATTTAAAATATTTTCTCTCTACACAATTCGACGAGAATTCCAGAAAATAACAGAACTATTCCAGACGGTGTAGAAAATGTGGTTTGTTAAATGACGAAACCAAATTGTTAATTTAATGTTGAAAGTACAATTAGTTTGCGTACTTTCTAATAAATGCCTTAGTCACCGTCTGCAGAGCTGAGCGCACGGGTCAACCAAACCCCAAAACACCTGTGTAAAGTTCGGACGTTCTCACGGGAGGAAGGGAGAACGAAAGGAGAACATGGGTCGTGTAAGCTCATAGCTAGAACCTATCAAGCGCTCGAACCTATCGAGCCTAGCACTCGATACGCTCTGAACGCGTCTTTGGAATATTTGGAGCCTCCGCTCTGACTGATCTCAAAGTTATGCATGGACGTGAGGCACATGGACGTGGGAAATGGAGGTGGGAAATGGACGTGGGAAATGGACGTGGCATGGACGTGAGGACATGGGCTTGAGTTATGCATGGACGTGGGAAATGACGATTCAGCACAAAGCTATTTCTTTTAGTTTTATCCTGAAATGAAATGAAGGAGCAGTGGTGATGTCAAAAGTACACGAGATTAAATATTTCACTTTGCCAAACTTTTTCAATAGACGACTGATATGAATCATTCATAAATTTATTTGAAATGATAAAATGTAAAATATTTTCCTCAAATGTTATTTAATCGACGCAGATCATACCACATCATTTTATGCTAGCCACTCCACTTTTGTTAGAATAGTCTGTTTGAGGAATTCACAAAAACGTATTATTTTACACAAGAGATATTTCCAGACGTGTAATTATGATTAAAGAATAGCAGTAAAAGTTACGAAAAAAGGCAAAATCTTGATTTAAGTATTTTCGACGAAACCTCGTAAAACTCCAAGAAAAGTTTAAAAGCTATATAGTACTTCAATATTAATTAGCAAATATATATTATTAGATAAATGTAAATTACTATATTTAAAAAAAGAAAAGCAGGTTCATTTTCCTTTCATGCAAAGAAAAAAATTAGTATTAAGAAAAACGTTTTTATGAAGACATTTTTTGTAGAGATAACTACTATTTTGAATTTTAAACAATAAAAACGCCAGCATACTTCTCACTTACATTGCTTTTCCCCGAGAATCAATAAAGCTCTTACGAATTCTACTCGGATTTCATCGGAGATTCTGTGTCGAATCCTATCGACTTACAGTCGAACAACCCGAGAAACCATTAGCGTACACATTATTCCTTTCCAGTTCGCACGAGCGCAGCACCATCGATTTCCGATGCGTCAAACGTCAACGCGAGGGGTGGACGAAGCAATTCGAATTCTGTGGACAACGCCGAAGATCGTTCAATGCTTCTCCTGAAGAGCTGCCAAAGATGGCTTATAAGAGAGAGGAGCTGTTACTAACGAAAGTTTGCGCAATATTTGCATTTTACAATACGTGTGATCATGTTGGTTCCAAAAAATCGCGGCGTGTTTTTAAAATTCGTTTTGTGCTTGTTTAGAGTAGAAAAAAGATGTAATAAGCGATTGGTTATCAGACTCGGCGTAGGGTAGGGCGCAGGGTAGGTAAAAAAAAAACATTGAGGTTTTTAAAACATCGATATTTTTGAGCAGGAAAATCGATATTATATCGGTATTACATTTGGCACATAGATGTTTTTGGCTATGTTTTCATTGATATCGAAAATATTTTGGTGATGTATCTAAGCATCGATGATTCAATATTTGTTAAAATTTGCAATCACTATCCTAGCAGCCTCGTTTGATAATTCTCGGATCTCGTCTCGTATTACGTTGTTATAATATGAATACCGTATATTTTATCCACTTTGTAAACATTTTAAATTTATTACATTTAAACTCTATTATTTCTGAAAAATGGGACATTGATATTGTTTGTTGTAATTGGGAAACCAAGTATTATTATAGCACTTGTGTTCCAGAAATATTTTGAAAACCGATTTCATCTTCGTAAAGTTTGACATTATATGAACTCACTTATCAATGAGTACAATAATTTTAAAAATATTATAGCGTAGTCATAAGATCTAGTTTTTTTTAAAGCAGATTCCAATGAATTTTTAACACTTGCTTTTATCCTATTGGACATTTTGAAATTTTTCTCAAAAATGTCTACAAATTTACTCATTAAACGTTGTCCTTGGATAGTGTAAAGGACGCATACAACACTGGCACAAGACTAAGTTTATTGAAATATCAAAATTTTACAAAATTACAAAAATTCACAACTTCCTATAACGTTAGTATTGTTCCTCTGGATAAAATCTGTTCTTCAAAATTGTGTCTTGAATTGAGGTCAAATACATGTTTTTAAACTATTAATATTTTTTACCCCAATTTTGACTGAAATATGAGCTATATTAAAAAAATTAAAAACAAGGTATTCCCAAAACACGCTCCAACTTTTTACTTTCTCGCACTTTCTTTGTAAAAAGAGAAAGTTAAGTATGTAATCATGCTCCAAAAACCGGAAAATTTTTGGCAGGAAATCTCTTATTGCTCGGCCCTGGTAAAAAACGGGGATAATTCTTGTTGCTGTATATTGTAAATCATTTTCTTTAACACGTTGTGTAGCCAGAACCCATGTTTGTGAGTCTTTAATGCCGAAACATCGATTGACGACAAACATTTGTCTGTTTGTCTAACGTTTGAAGATAAAATTGACTTATTCAAAGGTAGAGAACATTTTCAAATATAGTTATAACACACATCTTAATATTAATCAGATAGCAACGGATTGCAGAAAAATTACTTGCGAGTACATCAATTTTTTAAATTTATTTTTAATGCTATTGCAGATGAATTTAAGCTGTTAAATTAATGCATTTATACTTAATTAAAGTGAATTCAACGACATGTAACCGACATCGATACCATAAATAGTAGGGTATACGACATTTTTTTCAGACTCTTCTGTAGGGTTGAAAGAGTAGGAGTACTGTGTCTGAACATTTTCAAAATTTGAACTCAATGGCCCAAGAAACAATACTACATTGAAGAGTTACTTTTAATACTGCACATAGAGAAATTTAGATAATAAAAGAAGCTAGAATACTTTTATCTCCAGATTAAATTTCGGCGAATCATTTTAATTAGTACGACTAAGGCAAAGACCAATGTCCTAAATTATATGCTCATATTGCTAATAAGAAAAAGGAGACGTGAAAAAATTCGGTTTAGTAAACTCTTCAGGCAAAGTGGACTAAAATAAGGTTTTCTGTGATTAAAACCGATTTAAATATATATTCAAATCAACGCACCACGTTCATAACACACAATGAACACGTGAAGATGTTCAACATGTACAAACTTGAGTGTTGCCATCAAATATCATGCAGGCCGGGTCCGGCTTCAGTGTGACTGAAGCTGGAGAGAAGACTGTACTCACCGGTTTCCCGCGTCCAGTAGTTTATGGCTTTCGGCGACGCCTCCACGTGGCAGTGCAGCGTGACGTCAGTGCCCTGGGGCGCGCCCACGAGCTGGTTGGGCACCTGGATCATCGGGTGAACTGCAACAGTCAGGCGTGAATCACACGCTGCCCTGCCACACTCCGGTATCAGCCACATTCGCAAAAAATATATATTATAATAATTACGTACTTTGCTTCTACATTTACTACTCTAATACAAACTACGGCATCGGATTTATCCAGTTTTGGCAGTTTTGGCAGTATTGTCATGCATGGGGAGACATGTGTCTAGCGTGCCATATCGCCATCACAATATCTAGCATACTTGGCCGGCCTGATCTTCTCTTTCGTCACACAGGTATAGAAAGTTATTCGATTGTATTAGAAGGCTTCTGATTGATTTTTGTCCTGGCCGGAAATCGAACTAGGGCTCGCATCATGAAAAGCTTGCACTCTGCTTATGAGCCGCCCGAGAGACCTTGTCCTTTCATTATAATGACAAAAAAAATTAAGTAGATTATTATTGTTAATCGAGAAAATTTTGAGATTTTCGCTTAAAAAAACTAGAAAACCCTACTTCTTTGCTACCTCCCTGAGCGCAAACCAAATGATCTGCATGGCAATGAGTCACGTGACATGGATATACTACGTTCAATGGTTGTAAAGAGAGCTGAGGTCGGCAGCGGTGCGTCCAACTTTCCTACTTGTTTAGAGCAAGTTCGATTCAAATTAAATTATGCCTTAATTTTCGTGATGAGGCTCAGGTCATCAGGCCTGCTCTTCCACCTGACCAAGCAAATTCCGCTAGGCTCCTTTCACCACCTGACAGAGAAAGGAAGTATCACTATGGGTGACAAAATGGGCATTTGAATCTTGCTCAGTGGCTTATTTTAGGCTTGGTAATATTATACATGCAGTAAATCTACAACATGGGATGGCCGGCTTACTTCCTCTCCGAAGGAAAGCTTAAAAAGGAGCTTTTCGCGATTAAAAAGCCATCGGGTTTGAATCCACGAACTTGTATTTAACAGTCCTATGCGTAACCGTAACACCACCGACACCACACGTTCGCACTTTCCCCTAGGCGTTGGGAGACTGCGACTGGGCTTATCAGTTTCCAAATTTTATCTACTCATAAACCAACACTCAACAAAAATACATCATACAAAAGTTGTTGGTTTCCGAAATAATGCTATAAGAAAGACAATAAAACCTCCATGGTTCAAATTCAATAAAAAAATATACAGAGGACAAGTAGTTTCAAAACATTGATATACGAAAATTAACAATCAATATTTCCTTGTCTTCCCCCATTTTTGCTTTCTCACAAAAAATCCGCTTGGGACGAATAGAAAACGTCCCAAATTACATTACATCAGAATTTCCCAAAGAAACGTTAAAACCTCCTTAAACTAATGCTTTCGTTAAGATCCTTTCTTTTTCTCCTTTTCTACTGTTTGTCAAATCAGATACTTCTAGTTTATTCACAAAAAACGAAATTACAATTTAATAATATCTAAAATAAAATTGTTTCAAACTTAATCCAAAGTAAAATAACAGATTTAAAAAAATGAAATCCCAACATGCAAAAATGTCAGCAAGAGCAGTTGAAATCATTTGAAAGATTTCAGGTCGAACGAGAAGAAAGATATTCTTATGAAAGGGATTTATCGATGATGGTCTCCCCTCTTTTTTCTTCCTCTCAACGCACCACAGCTTCTGTGCGTGACCCGGTTTTCCAAAGAATATTTGGATTACGTGCCCAGAAGCAGCAAAGAAGCTTTGCGTCATCGAAAACAAACATTTCAGTTAGGAGACCGATTGCACCAAAATCCCTCAAAAATAACGATAATATTCTACATAATATTTGGGTCAGAATAAACAAGGGACACTCTGCTTAATATATTTCTTTCAAAATAACTGCAAGCCAAGATGTACTATCAAATAACACCGCAACTCCCTTCTCCAGTAATACGTTCTATCGCAACGATGTTGAAAATTTTGAGAAAGTATGTTGTTCGTCTCTGCAAATTCTCCAAACTGACTTGTAAAAAACATTAAGGGAAAAATATTTTTAATAAAGAAGCTAATGAAGTAATGAAAATGTTAACATATTCAAAAATCAAAGTATTGTTCATTCAATTTTATAAATACGGAATCAAAAATAAAAATAACATTTTTATGGGTATTTTTGAATTTACGGCCCAGTCAAATACGCACCCTGAACCATTTCTTTCCTTCTCCACTCTTTCCGCCTTGAATGACGTAACATCTGAATTATCCTTGGCGTGACCGCGAGTTAGACCCGTGGTCAAACAACCTCGCGGGGATTAGAGAGCGTAATCGAGTTGCGCGCCAACTCTAATTGGTGCGGGCGCCGCCAACGGAGAAGTCGCGCGACGCATTTCACAGCAGCGGTTGCACCCTGCGCTCGCGCTCAACAGAGAAGGGAGAATGCTGAGCGGACGAGGGTAGCAGGGCAGGCCCTTAACGCATACAGCTTGGGGTAGAGAAGCGAGGCAGGAATGCCATCGGTCATTTTGTTCTAATTTTTATCCTTTGAGTTTTGTCAGTTTTTTTTATGAAATTATAGTGCAAATACATGAAGAAATCATGCTCTTTTCAAGGTAATCGATGTACAAAACAAAGGAATCGTTGTCGCGAGCAGATTTTTCTATTTGTTTCTCTTAACAAATTAGAAATGTAAATAATTTAATGAGATTAACTTTACTTTAATAAACAGATAGACTCGAGGAAAATTCTAAAAATTCAAGAATACGTTTTCACCTGTTTATCCTAATGTGTATGACTGAGTATTTTCAAAAGAAATTAATTTCTTAGAATTTTGTTAGATGTGTCTAATATGAGAAAAAGTACATTTTACTCAGAAGTGACACAAAGGACAATGAAGTCCCAGTTATTTCATAATTCCATGCACTTGAAATATAATTCAAGATATAAATTTTTTCTTTCAACGGCCGTGAATAAAACAATCAAATAAAAACAACGCAATATTCAGTCTCTTACGCGCAAAGACTTGATTGACGATCTTCTTGAAAATATCTTATTGAAAAACACAACAATACTTGTATATAATATTTTACAAGAGAATATAATAAAATCTGAATAAAGAAAAGCATTGTAATATCGTAAAAAATATATGAACAAAACTCATGGAAAGCTACAACTAAACATTACAAAACAACTGCAAGTGGGTGGAATTTATCAAACTATCCTTAGAACGGTCCATTAACTTCTTCTCAGCTATATTTTAACACGCGCAAAACGCTTACAACGCCATGTAAATGCAAAGAATCTCATAAAACGGAAAAGCTCTCCTAAGTTACCTCTTCGCGTCTCGGCCACCGCGCACAACACCCCACAAAGCCAACTATCCGTTCCGGACCGGACACAAGCACCACCGCCAGCCACAACTCGCCAGGCCGCGCCTCGCAAGCCCCCCCCCCCGGCCACGGCGAAATTTCTTTCGCGAACCACAGCGCGCAAATAAAAATCTTTATTACCTTAATAACGCACGGATAAGCATTTGAATGCGACGCCCGCGGGTTAAAAAAATCTCGAAAACAGAGGCACAAGTCTCCCGCGGTTTTGCAGCTTCTTCGGATTCCAGCTCGCGCCGACCCACAAAAGGCCGTGGAGGGGGAGGGGGACCGTACCCCCTACCCCACCGCAGCCACCCTCACCCTTGGCACGGCCCCGCGCCGGGAGCAGCCACAACCGCCTTGCTACTCCCGCTGCCCCTGCGGCCAGCCGCTTCCATCACGTAGCCGCCTACCCGTACCCTGTGTCCCGCCTTCACCGCCAGATCCGTCCATTCCTGCCACCCATTCATCCATATCTGCCCCCACCGCCCCTCCGCGCTCCACTGACTCAAAGCTAGTTCCTCCAACCCACGCCACTACATCATCCTAGCTGCCTCCACTCCGTGCCGACCTTCATCGCCATCAGCGCCTCTACCGCCAGCCTTCCTCCACCCCCATCCCATATCAGCTTCCCGAACCGGCCTTCACCGCCCCCCGCCCCCCCGCAGATCCCCCACCAACACCACTTATCATAAGCAGCCCCCAAACATCCCACAGCTTCCACCGACTCCAAAAGCCAGCCTCCTCCACCCCCATCATCCTAGCTATCTCTCACTGCCACCTACCGCCACCATCGCCAACTGTCTCTACCCTGCACCCCCCATACCTAGCTACCCCCACCACTCCTTACTGACCTCCACCGCCTATCACTCCCAGCGCTCCTCCCGTCCACCGCGCTCACCGCAACCCGTGTTCCCCTCACTCGCCCACCCGCCTGCCTCGCGCCTTCGGCCGCCGCCGCCAGCGCCGCCTGCCGGCAGAAGTGCGGGGAAAATTGAATATCATCTTTTACTGCGCCGCCGGCGAGAGGCGGCAGGGCCCGCGCGGCGCCGAGGTGACGATAAAAAGTAAAATATGCGAAAGTGTGAAGTGAATTTTTCGGGAGGGGGGATCATTTTTTCTGCTCTTTTCTGCTCTTCTTTGTTGCGCGGGCGGCCCGGCGCGCCCGCGTGAGGACGGGGGAGTGGGGGGACGGGGGGAGGACGCCGTCGAGGGCTTTCTTTTATATTATATCGAGACGTTAAGGCGAGGCGGCGAAGGAGGAGGGAGGTGGGGCGGGGCGCGGGAGGAGGGTTGATACAGTGAGGACACAGGCGAAGCAGTGCATTGGCACAGGCAATGCTGGAGAATGGAAGAGGGCTGAGATGATTAAAAGAGGAATTGTGAGGGAACAAAGGTACCTGAAACGGGGGTGATAATCAAAGAAGCAAATGGGTAGGGATTGGGAAATAGTGGTAGTTTTGGTGCCTTATTAGGAGATAAAGTAACGTTCGTATTTTGCGTTAGATTATACGGAGAAATTTTGATTCATCATGACTGGCTCAGAAGGAAACAAAATTGAAAGGCCTAAAGAGAGTCGTAATAGAGAAGTGAGAAACACTGAGTTAATATTAACTGAAGTGTTACTGATTTAAAATCATAATTTGAATGGGAAGAAATCTAAAGATAATGAAGGAAATGAAGTGATTTGATCTTAAGATGTAGTATGTGGGCACAGAAATTTTTAACATGTCAAAAGTAAGAAACAAGACAGAAATTGTTAATTATATAAGAA